CCAATACCCATCCTCTCCCCCACCCCACACACAATCCTGCTGAGAAATATCTAAAATCTAACCCAACCCTGTCATTTGATGCAGGAGGATGTGGGGGCCTGGTCTTTCTCACACACGAACATAAACACTAACTCTTTTTCTCTCTCTGGTACTACAAATTACTAAGTCAGTCACTACCAGAAGTCGGTTCTCCTGACATCCAGGCCAGTGGGCCCTCCACCACACCATGCCATTATACACCACAGGGCTCCAGAAACACTAGGTTTGGATTATTTTGATGCTCTTGCTTGCAGCATTTTTTTAAAGTTGTAAATGGACACAATACCTTTATTTTATTTATTTTTACATGGTGCTGAGGATCGAACCCAGTGCCTCATACATGAGAAGCAAGTGCTTTTTCAATGAGCCACAATCTCAGCCCTGGCTGCCTTTTTTTAAAGTGATAAAAACAGACAATAAGAACATGGTACCTTATTTGAAATAGAAGACAATTAGAAATGTACTCTGTAACAATGTCATTTCCCTGCTTTTGCTTTGGCTTAGATCTCCCTGAAGAAACATACTTTATCAAACCCGAAATAACCAGGAGTGCAAATATGGAAGCTAACTTGAAAAGCAGTACTTTTGTTTGAGTGTGAGAAACAAATTTTCTACAAACTGGGTGGCAGGTAGTTAAATACTAAAACAAAACAAAAAAAGTAGAGTTTATTTTTTAATTTTAGTTGGACACAATATCTTTACTTATTTATTTTTATGTGGTGCTGAAGATCGAACCCAGGGCCTTGCACATGCTAGGCAAGCACTCTACCGCTGAGCCACAACCTCAGCCCTGAACACTTTTATTGTTTATTTATCTTTTTCCTGGTTGTATATAAAATATATTCACACTAATTCGTGTCTTCATATATGTACTTTGGATAATAATGATCATCACATTCAATCTCCTTAATTACCCCATGCCCTCTCCCTTCCCCTCCCACCCCTCTGCCCTATCTAGAGTTGTCTATTCCTCCCATGTTCCCTCTCCCTATCCCACTATGAATCAGCCTCCTTATATCAGAGAAAACATTCAGCATTTGTTTTTTTGGGGATTGGCTAGCTTCACTTAGCATTGTCTTCTCCAACTCCATCCATTTACCTGCAAGTGCCATGATTTTATTCTCTTTTATTGCTGAGTAATACTCCATTGTGTATACATGTCACATTTTTTAATCCATTCATCTATTGAAGGGCATCTAGGTTGGTCCACAATTTAGATATTGTGAATTGTGTTGCTATAAATACTGATGTGGCTATGTCCTGTAGTATGCTAAACTCCACTTTTAGAAATAGTTTTGTTCGTATTTGCTCAAAGACAGTTATATATATTTTAGAGTATTTTTTTTAACTGCAAGTAATTTGTCTAGAGTTTTCTATTTTTTCCCCTCTTTCCAGAAGGAAAAACAAACATTAACTCATCACTCCTCAAACTAGTATAACCCAATTGATGTATAGGAAAAAAAAATATTCCTTTCTAAGGTTTTTGGTGACAATAAAACTTATTTCCTCTTTTCAGTTTCATAAAAAAATATTAAATGCATGAAACTCACACTACCAGGAATTTAAAAAACTTGGTAGGACACCTTTGATGACCACCGAATTTCAATTCATTAAAGCCATGATATTCTCTCTCAAATCCTGGGAAAATGTGTGTGAGCTTTTAAGTTAAATAAATAAATAAATAAACAAACAAATAAATAAATGAAATTAAATACATAGGAAGACTATGTATGACTCAAATCTTGTTAAAAAACTTAAGTATGCAGTTGTGTAAACTGAGCACATAGTTGTTTTGTGAGGGTGGGTTTTGCTGTTTTGTTATTCTACACTGTTAATTCGTAAGCACATATTCCAGTTCTAAATCTAAGAAACTAAACAAGAGTATTGGGCACTATGATGCTGCTAAAAATAATGTTCTGCATACTTAAAGGAGTATCTTTTAATAGCTGTCTTTAGTAGAATTCTACAGATTGGGCACTGATAACGCCTCATTTTGAGCTTTAACACTGACTCTGAATATCATATTAATTTTGCTTTGCCATTTTTTCTCTATATTTTGTTATCTTGATAAAATTGTTAGTTAGGAAGGTGTAGTAATTGGTTGGGGGGGGGGAGGTCACAAGCCAGAATTACGAATGTTAAAATCTGGATTAAGAACAAATGACCAGGGCTGTGGCTGTAGCTCAGGGGCAGAGCGCTTGCCTAGCACACATGAGACACCGAGTTCAATCCTCAGCACCACATAAAAATAAATAAATAGGATAAAGGTGTTGTGAAAAAAAAATCTTTAATCTCCAGTTCTGGAAGTATTCAAAATGGTGGTGGCCAGCTCTTCTAGAGCACTCAGACCCTGCTGCAGACACTCCAAATGGTCTACTCCTATGACTCACCCCATCTTCACTATAGTCTGTGAGGGAACAAAGACAACTTGTCCTGGGGCAGAGACCGCCTAGTTTCAGAGCTCAAATTTAACTTCTTCAAAATATAAGGTTCACACAAGGGATTAGGTATCAAGCCCAAATTCTCTATTATCTTTTGGGGGGAAAGAAAATGTGAATGGATACCTTTCCACACTCCATTATGCCTCTCAGTACAGATACACATTCTATACCGTACTACTCTGTATTGTAGGGTGTGCAGTGTCCCCGGTACATTTTGACACACCTTGTTGCTTCATAGCTGGCAGGTGTTAGGTATCTCACCTTACTATATCAAGCTGCCTTAAGTACCATACTGTGGGTTGAGCTCCTAACCTAATTCCTTCCTCATTAGAACATTAGAGCAACATGGTTACAAATGTGATGTGAATTAGACATATTTTAAAGTTATCCCTGTGTGCTCCAAGAGAGGCTGCCACTATGACTAAGTGCTACTAAAAATACTGATTCTCTGGTTCACAAGTGCTGTAGGTCTCATGAATTTTAGCTGATTAATTAGGTGCTCATTTGAAGGGTCAGATCCACAATGTGACGTGTGGAATGTCAGCGTGACTGGAAATACACCAACACACACTGCAGCACGGCCAGACAAAACTTGCTCCCCAGTCTCCGAGGGCCACCAAAATTACTCCAGTGTTACAGCTGAATATTTTAGGCAAGAATGTGAAATAAAAACCCTATTTTGAGGAGGAGGGAGAAAGGCTGGGAAGGAAATGCTTTCATGATCCTCTGTGTTATATCTGGAGGACTTTTAAGAATTTTATTTTGACTTCAACATCTGACACCATGATTTGTAAAAGGATGTGGAAGCAGACATATTATTAGTTACCTAAGACATTACTTATGTCCATGTATCATTTTAATCCTGCTTATCCTAAATGACTCCCATGTCCATTTATTTGGATTCTAAAAGGCAAAAACCCACATCAGCTGTCACATTCATTTTTTTCCTTCCACAATAAACTATCTGTCCAATAGCACAGATACTAAAAATTAATACTCTTTCAGGTTTGAAAGCGGAAACATAGGAAGATGTAATCTATTTCAGTCCATTTTAGTCACTGCCCTCTCAGGCTAATAAAGGGAAACAGACTGATATCTTATTGAAGTCTATTGTGCACATTTCAACATGAAAAAATTAATTGGATGCACACCCACGGCCAGGTCACACTGGTTTGTGAGGCCTGGAGTGCCAAGGAAGGTGTTGTGCACTGTCAGACACACAGAGTGCCCAACACCAGGAAAGTCATTTGAGTGAGGCTTGCAGGGAGAGATTTCCCAGGGCAGTTCCTCAATGATGAGTTTCAGTGTTAAGGAAGGCAGAGGTGAGCAGGAGTCCCAATGAATAAGGAAAGAATGAGAAAGGCAAAAAAAAAAAAAAAAAAAAAAGCTCTACCAAAATGAGCAGTGGGAAAAGACCTCTCAGACTTCTTGCTCAAGTGTCCCTTATCTCAAATAGCCCCACCTGTAACCACTGCCAGTCCCTGTCCCCATAACTGCAGTCATCATCTTCATGTACCTACCACTATGCAGGTCTCCTTTCCATCACCTGTGCCCCGGACTAGAACATAAGCACTGAGGGGAGGGGACTCTTGTTGTGCCTATGCTGGAGATGGGATAGGAATTCAAGACTCTTTGCTGTATTAATAAAATGAACGGAAGTCTCTATCCCCTCATAAAACTTGACTGATGATACTGGTAATTGTGGGTATAAACAGAATAGAATATTTTTTTGGATAGTTCTCTATAAAATGAACACGTAAGTAACTGAAATACAAACAAGAAAGCAGCATAAAACTAGCAGCCACAGGGGCCAACGTCTAGCCAGTCAAAACTAATTTACCCCCTGCCCCCCATTAGTCCTCAGCTACGAGCTAAAGTAACCACCAGAGTTGCTTATGGATTGTGATTCTTGGCTTTCATTCTATTACCATTCTAGAGCTTTCTTTATGATTCCACAAAATGACTCCAGCAGTTTAAGATAAAAAAAATTCCCTGGTGGGCTTGGTGGCCTGGAAACCAGGTACTCACGAGGCTGAGGTAGAACGATGATGGCAGGTTCAAGGCCAGCCTCAGCAACTTAGCAAGACCCCATCTCAAAAAATAAATAAAGGGCTGGGAAGTAGTTCTGCCACAGAGCACTAGCCTAGCTTAACAAGACTCCATGTTCGATTGCTAGTACCATCCCCCACCATTTCTTATCTCCTGAGAAGACATCCTTCCTGCTATGGTTTGAATGTGTTCCCCAAAAGCCCTCTGCCTCCATGAGTGGGTTAAAGTCGCCATTGCAGGAGTGGGATCATTACTGCAGGACTCTCTGCAGGCTTGCTCTGCCTCACCAAGTGAGGCCCTCCACTTTGTTACCACGGAGTGAGAAGGCCCTGACTTCCCAGCCTTCCAGAACCATGATCCAAAAAAACCCTCTCTTCTTTATAAGTTTCCCAGTCCACAGAATTCAGTGACAGTACCAGAAAACGGCCTAAGACACTTCCCGAGTCCCAGGGCTCTTCGGGTGCCACCTACCTGTGGTTTTACCCAGACTGGTTTTCTGGAAGTCAGGGTTCCTGAGCTCTTCCGGGCTTGCAGACTTCATAACAGAACTGATGGAGGACAGGGTGCTGATCAGCTGTGAGTTGAGGGAACCAATCTGTGAGTGAGGTTCCCCAAAAGCTTCTGCCAGTTCACTGTAATTCTCAGCCAGTAGTGTTTGCTGTTCTGTCAGCAGCTTCTGGACCCGCTCAATGTAGTGATCCAGGCCAGTCACCATTCCAGATGGAGCCTGGGTCTGGGGGCCCTCCAGGAACTCCTCAACAGGCTCGTCCCCAACACCCACGCTCCTCCTGCTGCCCATGGGCCCCCCACTCAACTGTGATCCATGTGGAGGCCCACATGCTATGGTCCTCATTTTGAGACCAACCAGGTAGTTGTCATGAATATTTATCTGCCCCACACCTGCCTCTTTAGTCTTCACAGCCGATGGCTTATCAAATCCCAAACTGCCAGAAAGCACCGTCCCCACACCAACAGACCGTGTCTTGGTGGAGGAGTTGACGTCCTTGACGCGGCCCTCTCCTATGGCCACAGTCCGCATCTCCACAGTCTGGGTGCTGGTCTGCTTATCCAAAGTGCTCAGGGAAGTGTTGGTGCACGATTCTACGAGGGTAGCTGTCTCCGTGTTGGTGCACTGGTGGGCCCGTTCCCAAACCGTGCTGGTGTGCTGGTGTGTGGTCGGAGGGGCTGCTGTGACAGCTGCCTCCACCTGCACAACAGCCTCTGTGTTCACGCTCCGGGAGCTGCACTGCTTGGGAGCACAAACAGTCACATCGACAGAGCAATCGCCACAGCCAATGGACCGCACATCTTTGAGGTTCAAGTTAGTGGTGAGGAGCGCGAGGTCGCTCACAGACTCCTCTGTGTTGCTGCCTGTTTCGCAGACGCTGACTTCTACACCCACGCTCTCGTCACACATCTCCACAGACCTCCCAGCACCGCGGTCATGCGTTTCCACCCTCTCCTTAACAATCCACCAGTTCATGGGCAGCTCGGGCCCCACCGCTTGGTTCCTGCACTGGGGCTGGCAGGAGATGCCTATGCTGCTTGTTTGTACAGAGGTCCCAACGCACGTGTCTACCACATCCACGTGATGGCCAACCACTTGATCTCTCATGGGCACCACTGCCTCCACCAGCTTACTGGAGACAAGTGGCTGGGCCATAGTGGCTTTGTCGACTTTTTTCCTTGATCCAGCGGCCTGCAGTTCTTGTTTTAGTCTAGTCATCTCCCGGTCATGGGTGGTTTCTTTAAGCTGTACTTCCAGGCGGTAGATTTTTTCTTTTAAGGCCTCTATGGTCTGCTGTTGTAGCTCAATTTCTTTGTCAGCTTCCGTAGTCACTCCGAGCATGGCCTCTGTCACGTTGACCCCACAATGCCTCATCTCAGTGACTGTCCCTGTGGCTGCATCCTTGCAGCACACAGAGCCCCGGTGGTACACAACAAGGTCATTCATGCTCTCATCATCACCCACAGCCACAGAGCGGCACTCACGAGGTGGGCACTCCCCATTCTCCCTGAGCTCCGAGTAGGCCTCGTAGCTGCTGTCCTGGATCTTCTGCTCCAGGGCCTGCATGTCTGCCGTGAGCTGCCGGAACTCCTTTATTCTCTGTGTGCTCTGCTCCACACTCTCCATCTCATCCTCCTCATAGTCAATGTATAACTCCCCGCCACTCCTCCGGGCCCGGGAGAGCTGCTCCATCTGGGAGGCATTTCCCGCACTATAGGAGCGCTTCCTCACACCACAGACATCATTCTGGGATGCAGCCCTTTGAGTTTTCAGCTGTGAGGCCAACTGCCGTTTCTCCTCTTGCAAGACAGAGATCTTTACCTGGAGCACAGGGATAGTTCTTACCTGTTCCTCGAGTTCCTTTAGGCGTTTCAGGGCAATGGCCATTTGCTCGCGGATATGCTGCAGGTGCATGGGGCTCACATTGGTCACTGGGGTGGAGATCCCTGAGCTCAAGGGGCTGTGGCGGATAGAACTCCCCATGGAGGAGGTGGTAGCAGCCCCTGGGGCATAGCCCCCATAATCCCCATTGCCTTGATATCCGTTCTGAAGCTGGTGCATGGCAGGATTGTGGTTTCCAGAACCCATAAAAGAGGGGAGGGAGCTTGTAGAGCCCATGCCTCCAAAACTGGCCAGCCTAGGCCTTCTGAATTCACTCGGTGTCATCTGCATGGTGACTCTCTCCTGTTCGAGCCTTCTCCGGGTCTCCATTAGTGTCTTGGTGACATGAAGGTTGTGCTTTGGGAGTTGTGGTGAAGGAGGGGGCAGCTGTCGATTTTCTGGGATGGTTAGAAAAGTAGGCAAGGTCTCCAGAGGGGCAGGTGGCTTTGGGATTGGAGTTGATGTAACGTGGCTTCTGGCTAGGAGGAAGCTGGGACACTGCTTGTTATCATCACTGTTGGAAGATGAAAGGGATTCGGTAGAAGTCCACGCACCTTGCTGACCAGATGTGACCCTGGTTTCTGGGCATGGCACAGAAGGTTTCTTCTTCTTCTGGATGTTCAGTTTCTTGATGGTATTTCCCTTCTGTATGTCATCCACATATTTGAGGAAATCTAAGTCTAGTTGATAGCCATAGGGTGTCTCCACAAAATAAGGGTCTTTCTGTTCCTTGTCATGGTCTCCATTCAGAATATCATCTGCTTTTTCTAGGACAGAGAAGAGAATATTATAATACCATACATTGCACATAATGGCAAAAATAATTATTTGTGTATGCTGCAGAGCAGCAACCTGAAACAATTTTAAAAGAGCTGACAGACTTATAACCCTGAATCTACAACCTAGCTGGTAAGCAGTTGACAAACTTCTCTGAACTTCTATTTAAAAACATAAGGTTAAATAAAGTAATGAGAAAATGATTTTGATAACTAAGCACACAGTAAACCCTTAGCAAATTATTTACAAAAGAATGCATTAAAATAGGTTTTAAAGCACTGTCAAGTATTATCTCATTTGTCCTCTATAGTGTCCTGAAGGGTGGTGTATAGACATTAAGACTCCTACTTTATAAAGTACCCTCCAAAGCTCAGAATGTTAAAATTCAGCTGAAGACTAACAGGCCAGGCCAGGGGACCAAGGATATGCATTCTGCCCCTGCTCTTCTGTAAGCCTCATAGCTTTTTCTATCCAGTGGCCAAGAGCCACCTAGCACCTGCCCACTGGTACAAGATCCCAATTTGCTCTGACACTTTCTTGCTAGAAATCTGGGACATAGGATGTTGGGTATTAACTTAGGCAGCATGGAAGCAAGAATCTGGTCAGAGGGCAGACTTCAACTCTATTTTCTGTGTCTCCCATTTCTCAATTTCTCTCCCGGCTTAAAAATCAAACAAAATCCTCTCAACTACAGGCATTGTTTTCTCCACTCTTTTTCTTTTTTGAACAAAACATTCACTATTTCAAGAATTCTTGTTTCCTATTATTGATAAACCCAAACAGATGCAAAGGAAAATGACAACAAGAGCAAACCTATGTTCTAAGCACTGGATCATGTGGCATTCAGTAAAAGCTACTTCTTGCTAAACCAAACATTTCAAAAAGGAAACAGGAACCTTTCAAAGCATAGACCTTGCTGCTGACCTGAGCTCTGCATTTCAAATTTAAAAGCAAGGCCATTTTTATTTGTTTAAAGTGTGGGATTAAGTAATGTGTTTTCCTAGAGTCCCGCTCACAAGTTCTACACTCTCAGGACTATAGAAAAAAGAAATCCAACTCCAGGAGTGAAAATAGAAACCATCTATACCCCTGCCCTATCCTGGGTACACCCACCCACCTGATTGCTGTCAAGGTTCAAGGCCTGGCAATCATGGGCTGCCTGTCTGCTCTCCCAGCCCCCAACACTGCTGAACACTACAGGGGAGAACACCAATGACCAATGCTCCGCCTGCCTGGCCCTTTCACTTCCACTCTTCTTCTGAAATACTGGAAAGAAAAGTACAGAAAGCCTGCCAACCAGAGGAATTAGAGGAATTAAAGACTGTAAGCATTCTTCATGTCTCAATTTAAAACAATAGTAAACTACACCAGCTGATAGAAGGTAGGCGCTAGATTTCATCTAAAAGCAGGCGGGAAAGGAATTGCGTTTGAAAGAAGGGCCATGCACCAAAGCTTCAGCACG